CAGAAATACAGCGAGTCCATCCGCCGCGTGGGCTTGGAGCAGGAGAGCAGCACGGAGGACTCAGCAATAGCTATGATGTAGCACCTCGCAGAAAAAAAATGAGTTTCGTACAGGGTCCCTCTGCAAACCCAGAGTGACAGTGTTTGGGGATGCTCCCACCTCAAGGGCCAGTGTCTTCCTCAGGAGCTGGGCATTGATTTACTCGTGAGCAGACTGCTGAGCTCTCTTGGGTCTGTACTCACATGCCACTTCTGCCAATCCTGGGAAGTTTTGAGTGCATTTATGAGTGTTTTCTCTGCTTCCACTGCTTGACCTTGAGCTTTAGCTTTCAGAAACGTGGAGAAATTTAGAGACTAAAGTGTCTGTCAGTTGAGTACTGGCTAGTGTAGTATTTAATTAATATTCATGTTACATGTATTTATTTGTAACTTATTCCTGTAACTGTGTTCTGCTGGAAACACTGGATGTGAGCATTTGGGTCCGTTTGTGCTCCAGTGCTTGTTGGAAGAGTGGAGGTGCAGTCATGAAGGCCTGTGATGTGGTGGGAACTGTTCAGCTATTCTGTTAATGGTGTGTTTTGCTCACATGAAAATGTGAATTCTATTCTCCATGAAAATGTTTCCCGTTTTCTGTCAAATCTCTTCTAGTTCCCTTAGGTCCAAAACAAAACCTAAGTGGAAGAGGGAAAAACCAATTTGATAAAAATTTTTAGGAAAATTGCTCTTGTTTTTTAGTTTTGCTCCAAAAGCTATTTTGAAACAAATAGGCTGCTGCACCTGCCAGGCTTTTAAGATGAGACTTACATTGTGCTGATCTTTGACAAAATTCCAGTTTCATTTTACCAAAAAAAGGTAAAAATCCATAACCTGTTCTGGGAGAGACTCTAATATAAGTGAAAGTAAAATTTCCCTTGCAGTTTCAAAGGGATAGTCCTCACATCCTCCCAGTGAAATATGACTGTGTAGTAGTGAAGATGTGACCCCTCCTGAAGTTTGGTGAAAAGCATGGCTTAAATTTGCATTTTAAAAACTGGTCTGACCAGCTGTGAAATAGGCACTGTTGTGGAATTGGCATGAATTGTGCTGAGCTAACTTCCCAGTTTTTCTGTCTGAGTATCTTGTATAAGGGTGGAAGCATTTACTGCTTTTTAACTGCTCGGCTGTTGACTACTGAGGTGCCCTTCTCTTCCTGTTCCCTGTCTCATGATGGCCCTCAGTTAGTGACCCAGTAACGACAGTGGAAAATTTCATGCAAGCTTTTTGAAAGACGACTGTCATCTAAGTAAATTCAGCTCTATCAAGACAGATTTGAATTCAGCATAACTCTCTAAGCATTACTTAAAGGGCTGTTCGCAGTCTGAAAAAAGAAATGTATATAAAAATGCCAGGTTGCAACACCCAAAGTCAACCTGCAGTTGCAGGTTGGAGAAATCCTGGTGTTTTCTTCCCCTTGCGAAGTATCATTGGTGGCTTCCCTGATGCTGTTTCAGACCTGCCGTCACTATTATTTAAAGAGAGGCATAAAATCATTCTGCTTTTTTTTTTTTTATTTAAGGCCATCCTAACATCTCAGTCCACAGAGTGCTCAGTGTCCAGTCCAGAGCACTGGACAATGACTTACAGACTTGATTTGCCACCTTGGGCCTAGGGACTTCCTCAGATTTGATTTCTTAGGTGCTGCCCTCAAGTCTTATGTTGGGTTCAAGTCATCAGTTCTCTTTTGAATGTACCTTTTCTCTTGTATTCTGTGTCATATGTTCTTGTCTGTAATTTCGATGTATTACAATGAGTTATTTGTTCTTTCCTCCAGTTTTGGAGAGATGCATTTGGGCGTATTGCTCTCACTGGGAATAAAATAAGCACTCAACTGTTCCACATCACAGTCTACTAATCCACAAATGCCTCAGGAAGTTAGACAGAGACAGGTCCCTTTAATCCTGCTGGCAGAAAGATACTGGTGAGCTTGGCTGTGCTGTGCAGAAATGGGAGAAGAGCCCCTGTTTGGATACTGCTGGCTGCAAAGTGCAGGACAGACTGCAGCCGAGTTAATGGTGTCCCTGGAGCTTGGCTTTGCTGCAGCGGGGCTAAGCTGGGAAACACAATGTTCAGGACATGAGCTGAGCATATGTCTGGGGCTCAGGTGGAGCCCGGCCTGTGGTGAAAGTGCAGAAGGCTTTTGTCTAGGCAAAATAGGCTAAGGAAGTCTACAGGTGGCATAAGGCAGCATCCACAGCTACGAGATGAAGCTAGGCTACACTTAGCTTTCCATTTGTGATGGCCAGGCCACAGCTGAGTCAGGCAATGCTGGAATAAGGGATAGGGTAGGCTGGACTCTTATGAAGGGCTCATCCAGGCATCAGCAGAGCTACAGCTCTTCCAGGTAACAGATAGATTGGTTCCAGGAGAGAGGGAGATTACTGCCAGGTGTTTAGGTTGCACGTGGTATGGGCTGCAACTAGGCCAGGCAACAGGAGATATCAAACAGTATCGTCAGTAAAATGGCTCTTCAGGATTTGAAAAGCTGATAACTTAAGGAAAGTTAAGGAACTACCCCAGACAAGTACTTCTATTTCCAGTCTTTCATTGCTGAGTGGCAGCCGCTGGGCCAGGCCACCTTACTGGCATCTGGTTTTCTCCTTGAAGTGACACCAAGCGCCCAGCTGAGGATCTGGAGGTGCTGGCAGGAAATCAGAGCAATTGTCCAATGCTCTTTCCTTTAGCTGACCTGGAAGCAAATATTTGAGCTGGATGAGAGTCAATGGAAAGCATGTTATTTTGAGAGAAGTAGGAAAGCTGGATGAGGGAGGTAATAACAGGTTAGCTGGGTGAGGACATAAGCTTAAGTATAAATCTTCACCTTGCTGCTTCTTCAACCAAGTCCTTGGAAGACTTCATTCCTTCTGGAAGCAGCAGTTGTTTGGGGAAAATGTTTTTTGTTTTCTTACCTCCAGGTTGGAGAAAAATGGAAATCCTTATAATTCTTTAGCATCTTCCCAAGGCCAGAGCTGAGAACAAGCATGGGTTGTGACACTGGTTGTAGCTGCTCCCTCTCAACTCTGCAAGTTTCTGTCTCCTGGGGTCTGACACATCCTTCATATGTTGCAGGAGCATCGGGCTGAGTGACAATCCCGGCAAAGCTTTCAAGCTGGTGCATTGAGAGGGGCAAGAAAACAGTGTCTCCCTCTCAAAAATCCCTTACAACAGATGACTGGGTTGCAGTCAGGGCAGGGAAAAGGAAATCTTGCTGCAAAGACAGACTATTTTGTGTCAACTGCTGTGCATCAATGATGGCTGAAGGGCAGAGGCAGTCACAGATGGATCCATCAGCTTTTTGGGGTCTCAAAATAACATGGCTCTGAAGGAGGTGGCAACAGCTCTGTGAGGTGGTAAGCCTGGAAAACTTTGACTCTCCCTGAGGTCAAGCTGTTTCACCCATGGCAGGATAGCAATGTCCTTAGTGTCCACTTCCCCCTCCATCCTGGCAGGATGGACCCATCCCACCTTTCTGCCCCCAAGAAACAGCAAAGCAGCCTAATGTGGCTCCAGGTTTCCCATAGTTATCTGCTGAAAGGGCAGAAGAACGAATGAGCTGTGGAGGGTGAGGAACGCCGAAAGGTCCTGGAGTAAACTGCACTGTTTGGCATTATGTGGCCACACACCACAGGGGAAAGGAGTGATGTTCCCTATCCTGCAGTGGCCCATAAATCCAGTGCCACCTCTGCACAGGGAGAGATGCATATTGTGGGATGCTGTGGGCCATTTTCTCCCTGGGAAGAGGGGGAAAGCCCTGCTGAAAGGCTCCTGGGGCAATAAGTGGCTGCAGCTGTGGGCTCCCTGCCAGCAGCTGTGCTCAGAGTGAGATCTGGAGACCGATCTCGCAGCCAAGACAGCGCCATTCATCGGCACTCAATAAACAAAAGTGCCTTGCTGTTTTCTGCAGGAGATAAGCGTGCAAGGCATAACATTGCTTTCCCTTGTGCTCTCTGTGCTGAGTGTGGGAGCCTGTGTTGGCTGCCAAAGGAGCCGAGGCACTGCTGCTGTGGGACACGCTGTGGACAGGCGGGCGGAACGGGGGCTGCTGGGTGTCAGGCAGCCCTGAGGCTGGAGCTTCATGAGTGTTAGGCACTGGTGAGATGCTGGTGTTTACTGGAGGTTGCCAGTCCTGCAGGATGTGTTGCAGGAGCTGGGCCATTTTGTAAGCCAGTTCATGACATGTTATCCATTAGCACTCCAGGGTCAACCCTGCAGCTCTAAAAGTCCCTTACAAAGGGAGGAAAATTCTACTTTTTTTTTTTTTTTAACACAAACCTGTGTGCCTTGAGCATTAAGGACTTTCCTCCTACTATTTGTTAAGGCATTTGAATCAAATAGCTACTAAGAAGAACAGGCTGTTTCCAAGGAGCAATGGCCAGAGGGGACAGACTATGTACGCTGGTTCACCTGCGTGGTCTTGCAGCCTTGAACTTTCAGGGACAACAGAGCTGAGGATGGGGTTAAAGCTGTCCTTTTCTCACTTCCCATTCAGTCCCCAGATGCATCTACATCCCCTCTCACTTCTGTAGTATCAAGTATCTGCACAGAAAATGAAACCAGACCTGCTGGGTCAGTGGTTTCTGGGTGATTCCCAGCATCCAAACCAATGGCTAGCTGTTAATCTGTTCATTTTATTCATACTGTTTGGCTGTACTCTCAGCAGTCAGATGCTGAATGTCTCCCCTAGTGCCTCTGTGTCGCTACCTTTGGCAACACATCCTGTGGTCCCAATGGAGAATGAGATCAGGTTCAGTTGAGATTGATTTTTCCAGAAAACAATGTTGACCAGTGCTAATTATGTTACTGCCTCTTCAATATTTATCAGCTAAATTGTCTACCAATGTTCTGATACTCATGTATGGCCCAAGAGGCATAACGTATATGGCCACCAGGCCAAGGGAACAGTGCCCAAGCTTGCCTAATCTGGCTTTTTTAAGCGTTGGTTTAATAACCGCACCCATCAGGTGCTTGGGGATTTCACCGGCACTCCATGATTTATTGAAACAGAAAACAATACAAATGGGGAAGGAAGCTGAAAAACGCAACCTCATGAAGGCCTCTTTCTTTGCAGCAGACTGAACTTGACCCATGTCCTTGCAGGGCTGAACCAACCCACGGCCACTCTGGCAGCCAGGCTGAAAGCAGCACAGGATTTTGAGACTCACACAGAGTGAGCTTTGTGATGAGCCAAACACAAATTTGGTATAATGCCCCCATGTATGCCATGATGACAACAAAATTGCCTTGTACAGGAGGTCCTGAGCTCTGCTCTTCGTCTTGTATCAGACACAGACACTGTTGATTTTGAAGCTCCACTCTGTGCCGAACAGTTTTAAATCTCTCTTGTGTCTGTCAGAAGAAAAAATTTGTGTCTGAAAGCAGAGGAAACCTTGACAACCTGGCACTCACTGAATGTGAACTTTCTTCCTCTGCTTCCTTTTTTTATGCCCTCTCTTAAATGCTGCCGGAAGAAATGGGTCCTTTGCGCCATGCAGGTTACAAAGAGCAGTTGTTTTTATGCAGCAGAACCAAAAATAAAAACGTGTGATTGCAGTCCTCCTAAGACACCGCACAAAGATGGACAGTGTTAACCTCTTCTTTGCCAGGGGATGGTACTACCAGTACATCTATGGCATGGCATGCTGTGATAAAGAGTAAAATCTGAGTAAAATCTGAGTCAAATTGCTGAGGTCAGTTCAGCTTTTGTCTGAGCTGGTATACCACAGTGAAACCCACTGATGCCTTTACAAAACAGGGCAGAGCAGGGATGTGCCACCACCAAGGAAAGAAGTGGGAAGGAGTTTTGCAGCTGGGGAGTGAGAAGGAGTGACCACAGCTCCCCCACATTGTTTTGCTCTTCCCCAAACTGGGGGAGCCCCATATCAGTGCCTGTCACAGCAGCCTGCCTGCAACCCTTGCCTCCCTGCTTGCTTTTCCAAGGTCATGGTGGAGACAAGACTGTGGGCTGGACAGACTATGCTGGCAGCTCTCTGCCCACAGCACTTGCATTTTCCTTCTGTGCTGGATGCTCATCCAATATATGCCCATAAAATGGCCACAGTGCACAGGTCTCCTTCCTTGGTCAGGCACCACCCTTCTGCAGTGAGCTTTCCACCTCCTGTGCTGTACCTTCTCATGCTTTGACCAGTCCAGGTTGAAAAGCACACAAGCCGCTCCCCTTTTCAGCTACATCCAATTCATTAGCCTTGGCTTCTCATGCTTTGCTGGCCTCTGGTTTACATCTTTTTCTCACCTTGGGATCCAGGTCCCTGACTGTGATAACAAGCTCCTCTTGTTTTCAGGTGCGTGAACAACTGTGATGTTTCTGGGCTGTTCGTCACGACTCCACATAATTGTCGCTTCCTCTATGTACACAATGTCCTCATTAGCCCTACATGCTCCTGGTAGCATCCTTGTAGGCACTCTGATCATCTCTGATAACTGTGAATTTGTGCTCTGCCAGCTCCTGTGAGCCCTTGGTGCAGAGCCGGTAACTTCACACTCACTGTGTCTCTTATTGGCAAGTGCTGGGTGTCTGTGAGCAGTAAGGGAGGTTCCTACAAATATATTCCCCTGGAGGTCTTTTCCTCTCTCCTTGGTGGTGTTGCACCTGTGGATGTCATAGAATCATAGAATGGTTTGGGTTGGAAGGGACATTAAAGGTCATCTAGCTCCAACCCCACTGCCAAATGCAGGGACACCTTACCCCAGACCAGGTTTCTCAGAGCCCCATCCAGCCTGGCCTTGGAACATTTCCAGGGATGAGACATCCACAGCTTTTCTGGGCAACCTCACCACTCTCACAGCAAAGAACTTGGTCATCCCAAGAGGCACAGAGATCTGTCTGGCTGCTGCTGTCTTCCTTGCCTTCATGATTAGTTTCCAAGGTGTGCTGAAACAGTCCCCATGAGTGTTTTGTCCCAGCAAGGACTCAGGCCCCATAACCTCCTGAAGCCGTGATGGAGCCTGCTAACCCTAAAGGTGATGTCCACCTTTAGCCTGTCAGCTGTCCTGTGGGGCAGCAGGCAGCACAGCACGGTGACCCAACTGCCAGGTCGCTATCCTGAAGGGAATGACAGAATCATAAAATATCCTGAGTTGGAAGGGACCCACAAGGATCACTGAGTCCACCTCTTAGCCCTGCACAGGACATCCCCAAGAATCCCATGTGCCTGAAAGCATTGTCCCAACGCTCCTCGAACTCATCCAGGCTTGGCACTGTGACCACTTCCCTGGGAAGCCTGTTCGGCTGAAGAACTTTTTTCTAATATCTAACCCAAACCTCCCCTGACACAGCTTCAGGCCATTCCCTCGGGTACAGATGGCAGATTTACTATTCTCCCCGCCGCACCGTCGCTCGCCCCGTGTCCCGCCGTGTGCCGCCTCGCCAGATGCCTGTGGGCAGGGGCCGGGGGCGCTCGGAGGGCAGTGCGGGCTGCGGGCACGGCGGGGCACGCCCGGCAGGCCGGGCCCGGGCCGGGGGAGGCGGCGGTGGGCCCCGGCCGCGTTGCCATGGGGACGCGGCGGCCGCCCCGGCGGGGAGGGACCGGCGGCGGCGGCGGCGGCTGTTCCTGCGCCGAGCGCGGCCGGAGGGGGCAGAGCTGAGCCGGGCCGGGCCGCGCCGCGCCAGGAGCTCCGCACCCCGCGCCGCACCGTCCCCGGCCCCGGCGGGAGCCGCCGCCGCCCCGGTAAGTGCGGGTACGGCCTTTCCCCGGCCCTCCGGAAGCGCCGCCGGGCGTCCCGGCACCCCTTCTGCCGCCGGGGTGCCAATCTCCCCCCCCGGCCTGGCCCCTGCTGTACTGGCCCCGTCGCCGCTCACCCCGGCCCCTCACCTCAGGGCTGTGCCGGGCGCCCTTCCTGCACCCCCGCTCCCTGCGGGGCCGTCATCTCGCCCTGGGGGCTGCGGGCTGCCCTGGCCCGCTGTGTACCTCCGGGAGCTCCGAGCTCCCCCGATCTCCCACCTCCCCTCCTCACCCTGGGGGTTTTAAGGCTGCCCAGCCCTTCCCCTCCCCTCCTCCCTGGGGCCGGGGTCCCTCTGCCGGCCCTGGGGGCCCGGCGCTGGTCGCCCCCCGCTTTCCGTGGTGCGGGGGTTGCCCTTGCGGGGCGCGGGGGCTGCAGCCTCGGCGCGCCTTCCTCTCCCTGCCCGCGCCGGGGAAATTGCGGGTGACACGTGTGCGGTGCCACTGAGCCCTTTAGTGCCGCGGAGCTGCTGCTTTTTGTGTTGAAAGCGGCTTCAGAATTTCTCCGGGGCTTCTGGTTTCTGGGGCGATTCGTAGGATTCTCTGGCCGCCCTGGTCGCGGGGCAGGGTCCTGCATCTAAGCCCCTCTGAGCTCCTTCCAGACTCTCCTAAGCCAGATCTGTGCCTCTTTGAGGTAGGTCAAGGTTATTGTGCTCTTCATTCAGTGGATGGGGAAAGTGGAAACACGGACAGACTGTGGGATTTCCTCAAGGTCACCCCGGGAATTGGACCCCAAGCATCCTCTCCTCTCTTGCTGCACCCTCTGCAGCTGCTGTGCTCCTGCTGGGTGAAGGCAAAGTTGTGGAAATCGGATTTTCCAATGCCCCAGGCCTCTCTCCTGCAGAGCCTCTCAGCTTTTATTTTCTACACTTTGCCAGGTGTCAGAGCAGGATTCCAGCTATATTTGTTGGGCCTAATATCGTGTAGCTGTTAAGTATTTACAGTTAAATACTAAGTGTTTTTACCATAGTATGTTCATCTCTGAGAGTCTCTCTGCTGTTAGGATCTGACCTCGTGGCGTTGCTGCTGCAGTTGGGATGATATCTGCAGTGATTTTTGATCACTGCAAGTAACTGTGGCTTTGCCTCTCAGAACTCGCTTCTGGCAAATGCAAGCAAAAGGCAATTGAACTATAGTGGTACTCGGCTGATAACAGTGTATCCTGTGGGACTGGGTGGTGGTTGTCTTCTTGTCCGCTGCTTGTGTTTTGCTTTGCAGGCTGTTACAACGAAGATGTAGACTAGTTTTAATAGGAGGAGTTACTCTAACCTCTTCCCCAGAAAATAAACGCCAGGATATAATGAGGAGTTACCCCTTTGAGTGTCTTGACTGTAGGATTTTTTAACTGCGTGCTACTACTTCTTGTTCACACAGGTGCAGTTTTTTTCTGGTGCTGTGCCCTTGGGCTCATCTGTTCACTGAGTGCCTGTCACAGTAAGGAGTGTTATATTTTGAGGGTGGTGGCAAATGTTGACAAGGATGGCTGGCTGAATTGGAATAGGGAACAAATAAATTGGAGCCCTGCTCTGTTCTGAAGGAAAGTCTGCAGTCTTGTTTGATGTCCAGCAATCTTGTTAATGTCTTACTAAGATGCCAGAACCCTAGAAGATCCTCCTGCTGCCATTTTAAGAAGGGGTAGTGTGCTGTATTAGGTTACTAAAAAGTAGAAATCACTGACAGCTTGTCAAGGCCATTTACTCCTCCTTTCCTGCCGGTATTTAAGTTAGTGGGCAAGATGGTAGAAATATCAAGCTGGCTGGCCAAGGTGACAGCAGCATGTACATGTGGAAACAGCCCCCTGCTCACTTGTGCGTCATGTTTTGTGTTGTAGGTCTCTGGCAGGGCAAAGGTGTGATGGAGTGAAGGCACTGTGATGCAGCAGCTGGTGTTTGGTGTGCCTTGAAGCTGGGGTGCGATGAGGATTTGGAGCTGTGCTCTGATGAGGGTGTTATAACGGGGAAAGTTTTGCTTAGAAGCTGTAAACATTTCATGTGCCTATACAGTTGTTCTTGCATAATTGTTGTCATTCTGAGAATTGTGAAATAGTAGGAGGGCGTGATTTTCTGGAGAAGGGCAACAGCGTTTTTAGGTGGGGAAATGTGCTGTGTTTAGCTACAGTAAAACGTACGTATAGAGCCAGCATCCCTGACCAGGGGTCCACTTCCACAGATTCCCCTAAGAACAACTTTTCCACGACGGCTAAAGCCCAGTCTAGGGAACACCCTCATTGCAGAGTGTGCAATGGTGTGGAAACAGTTAATTGTCTTTGGCACTTCTTGAGGAATATGTTTAGTGCTGATAGCTGGGTGTGCAGCTGCAGGTTGTGCCCGTGGTGAGGGGAAATGATGGGAGCCCCAGGCAAGGAACTATAACCAGATACCAACCCTTTGCACAGCAAAGGGCATAGGGACCTTTGGCATTGGCCAGGTGACCAGGCATTCAGACACAGCAGGAGCTGATGACACAGCAGGAAGACCCCAGACTGTTTGGGTGTCCGAGCTGTAAGAGTATAAAAGCCTTTGTTGGGAGTCTCTCCCAGGAGGCACCATCTCGAGCTGTTTTTTTGTGTTGCTGCACCACAATTTAATTCCTCTAAGGATCCAGACATCTGAGACTCTGCTGTGGTAAACCTAGGGCTGAGCTGGTAAGGAAACCTTGTCTGACTGTGTGAGTGGGGAGTGTGCAGGGAGACAAGTGGGACACCTGTCAGGTCACTGGAGCCGTGCGATGTGAAAGGGCTTCGGTCCCAGCAGCCCCTTGCTGGGGCCCATCTGGGGTGGTGGGAATGTAACTCCTGGAGTGGCTCCTGGATAGTCAGACAGGGAAATTTCCTTAATACACTCTGGATTTTATCTGAATAATCTGCAGACAAGAGGCTGTAAGAGTGACTGATGAGTTGCTCTTTCAGCAGGGAGTGCCTTGGTGTAGTGTAAGGCTGCATGGTCTCCATCTCCGGTTCTCCAAGGGACCAGGCTTTGGGTTTGCTGCTGGGCTGCTGGTTACATGTTTTACAGATGTTGGCAAACCTCTGGACTCTCTTTCACCCCACTGTGGAAATAAAATGCTCTTGGAGGGTAATTGCCAGATTCACCACACTTACTGGAAGATGGTACGTCCTTGTGAAATCCAGGGGATGCAAGGCTTGTGTGTTGGGAAGAAAAGTTTATCAGTGTTGAACATAACTGTGGAGGGACTCACGTCCCCTGGTGCTGGCTGGCAGCAGGTCTACCTTGTTCCAGCAGGATTCTTGCTTTTGTCACTTGATCCTTGGGCTCACTTGGGGGTAGGGAACTGCAAATCTATTGCGCTGCCAACTTTCCAGTTGCCAGCAAGATGCCCTACACAGGGTGTATCTCTTAATGGGCTGGGTTTATCTGCCTAAAATCACTTTGTGCTGCCAGAATGACACAGAAGAGCTTTGAACTAGGCCTCAAGGGAAAAGGAAAAGAGGAGTAAAAATGCAAAATATTTTTGTTCCGGTGTTTAGGAGTGCCTGTGATGGGGAGACGATGTGTAACCAAACTGGATTTGGAATGTCTGGGACAAATGAATTTCTTTGTGATCCTGAGTGCTGCAGTTCATGTGTATTATGGTAGGGTGCTAATGTCCTGTGAAGGGTTTTTCTGCAGTTTCCCCTTTTATAGGCTGTTCCAGAACAGAGAGGCATTTCTTCCTAAGCCTACCTTCTTCCTGGCCTTCGTTTTTCAGGATTTTTTCCCCTGTTTTGTTGATGGGGTGTTTTTATTTTTCATTTGCTTTGTTTTTCCCCAGAATGAAATTTCTACGCAGCTGTGGCAGGTCAGTGGTGTCTCAGAGCTGTGCTCCTTCACCCTTGATGTAGCTCTGGCAGAGGCAGTGGAGCAAATTTGGTTTGCACCAGCGGAGTTTGAGCCATCATGTGGGAGCCCTTGAGCAACAGGAAGAGCCTGGGCTCAAAGCCTTTTTAGCCTGT